TGAACAACAGACTTGGGCTAGCCCGGGTGTTGTGACCATGTCTTTAATCTCAGCACTTAGGCAGGCTGATCTCTGTGAATTTGAGTCCATCTTGGTCTTATGGTGACTTCCAGGTCAAGCAAAGACACACAGAGAAGGCCTAGTTCAAATAAACAAACAAACAAACAAACAGATAAACAAATAAATAAATCGTGGCCTGCTAAGAGAATGGGTTTGGCTTCTCCTGACGCCTCCCTCCTCAGCTATAGTTACCCTTGTTCATCCTGAATTCTGATACGATCTTTACTGTTTACATGCCTGTGTCTACACTCCAATGTTTAATGCCTACAAGGATTCTGGTTATAGTAGGTTAAAGACCACACTGAAGACTTCATGTTATTCTGAAACACTGTGGATAATCATTCCAAGGTTTGGCTCTTGAGGTTGAAATACTTCAACCTACAGCAATGTCTCTGCTATGGAAGAATAACTAAGGAGGTCGTGTTTCTACTGTTCAAGAGGGAGATAATATGAGTTTGGACAAAGATGAGAGCAAAAGAAGTGGTGAGAGGTGGCCAGACTGGGATGTATTTTGATGAATTAATTGATGAAATTTGCAAATAGATTGATCATATAAAGTAATAAACATTAAAAATCAGTCAGGCAAATTTTTTTCAGTACTTATCAAGATGTAGAGGGTGAGAGGAAGCTTTTCGGAGCGTAATGGCCAATAATTTTATTGTTGACCTAGTAAATCCCTCGTGACTATTAGTTGTCAGAAGCAGACACTGACCTGAAGCCCTATGGAAATATGAGGGTTTAAGCCACAAAGACATGTTGTATTTGGGGTGCTTTGAGCTTCGGTAAAGTCTCCAAAGAACAGCATAAAGGTGGAAAGCAGGAAGAAAGGGCAACCACTGAACTTTGTAGATTTCAGCCTTTGAGAGAAAGAATGAGGATGAGAACAAAATGAAGGAGACAGAGAAACAAAAAAATCAGGAGGCCATGGAGTCCTTGGAGCTAAATGAGGAAATGTTAAAGACAAACTTCAGTACCACCTGCTGCTGCTAAGGAATTGCTGGCAGAGTGATCCCAGGAGAGCTGGAGACCTGACCTTTGGATTTGGCAAGATCTAGACAGTTAATGACCTTTACAAGAACAGCCTCAGACAACAGTAGTGCTGAGGTAAAGAGCAGCAGGAAGAGAGAAAATGAATTCAGAGAATAATCGTGTTGAAGGACTTTGCTGTGAAACAAAGTGGAGAAACGGACAGTGATTGGAGGAACTAGGGGCTGACAAAGACATACGGCATATTTTGCTTTTTATGGTTTGCAGGATCTAGAATGTGTTAATAATTCATTAAAGAGGAACAAATCCTAGTAGAGAAAGACAGGCAAAAGCTGAATAAAAAACAACAAGAAGAAAATATTAAACAGAATAATCAAACAAATCTAATCAATCCAGGGCACATGCAATGACATTGACTCCCAGTAAGATTTAAAAAAATAGCTATTGCGAGAAAAAGTATAGTCACTAAAGAGATAGCTCAGGTGGTACGGCACTTGCCACACAAGTATAAAGACTCCAGGCCAAACCCTCAGCCTACATTAAAAAAAATCAGTATAGTATAGTGTTCAGCACTCCTTATCCCAGGATGAGGAAGCAGAGACAGGTGGATCTCCAGGGCTCACAGGTCAATTCTGGACTAACTTTTTAATGCCAGTTCAGCTAGAGTCCCTATTATAAAAGACAAGAAACCTCAGGAAAAATGACCCCTGAGGATGTCTTCCAGAGTCCATACACAACCAAACATGTACTCCAACACACATGAAAATGAAGGTATAATCTATTAAAGTGTGGATGACTTGATGCCAGCTGAACCTTAGTCTAGAGCTACATTATAATAGAGACCAGTGTTTGTTTCTTTACTGTCATCATCGAGGAACCATACAGCCACCCATAAGTCTTCTATCTCTCACAATATTTAGCTAGAATTAGAAACATTTGAACAACCCAAAAAGGGGTACTTAGATGCTCTTCATAGTGCTTTATTCCACAGAAATTTCCCATCAATTTCTTTTTTCAATGCCAAAAATACTTAGTTTGAGTTAGTAAATTACATTTCATAGTCATTGAAGAAAATAGCTTATCAATGTCCACTCCGCATTTGCTAGCAACACTGTCAAACTTCCAAAAAAGGAAGGGGGACAAGGAGTGGAGAAGCCCTTAAATGAAGAGGGAACAAGAGAAAATGTGGAGAAATAGATTTCAGCATCAAATCATGGGTTTTAGGGAAGAGTGCATACCATCAAAACATTATGAATTATATTCATCTTTAAAAGCCCTTCCCCTATACTTTTGAGAGAAAGGACAGTGCTATAATATAGCACTGCCTCCATAGACTGCATGCCAATGATTTGATCTCTCTACGATTCCTGCACTCCAGTGTAAAATGCTACCAGTGTGTGTCCCTCAGGAAGAGGCGTTTGAAGTTAAAAATGTCCCTAAATAGACGTCTGGGCCTACAGCAGGTGCTCATTTAAAGGCTATCTCAAATGAATACCTCTTTTCATGTTGAAGTTAATTAAGTGTACTGACCCATTGCCAAATAGGTTAATAAACTGAACTTTCAGTAAGCCCTTACTGAATTCCAGGTAGGCACTTTCAAGATATTTTGTGTGATACATTATTTACAAAATTGTCTCTGCTCTCCAAGAGTTCATCAAATTCCAGATGACAAACTGATGGTCAGTAAAAAGGATATATTCATTTACAACCATTCTGAAGAGCTGGAATGAAAATCACTCCATCAACAGTGATTGTGCACATGGCAGCCGGTTGGGAGTTTGAGCGAATTTCTGTGACATTGGCTGTGTCAGTGAACTTGAAGGGAGGGAATTTCTGCGCATAAATTCATATTAAGATGCCCATGGTAATATGGATGAGATAAGATCTCTTTGTCCTTATAGCAACAGTAAAACTAAGAATCTCAATAACAAATACATTTTGTCAGTCATTGTGCACTTGTCTATGTGTTGAGGTGCAGAATTATGTAAGAGAAGCAAGATCCTTCTCTATGGATGTTAATATACTTGTTGGAGAAATGCAGTATAGAAATGAATATATTTATACAAATCTCATGTAGTGGGTAGCCATTCCAGCCTTGATCTGGAAATTCCAACCCCCATTGAGGCTTCAGTAACTGTCACGCCTACAACTCGGGGCCAAGAGAGGGCCCTGAAGACCCAAGATCTGGATGCACCAGTTCTCTTAGTTCCTGGACCCTGGACGCTGGAGGTAGACCGAGCAGAGTTCTCCAGAGAACACCACCGGACTGTGCCATGCCTTTCCCAGACTCTGTAAACTATCCATTCACTTGTAAGTTATCCCACAAAATAAACCTCCCTTTTAACTACGTGGAGTGGCCTTAATAATTTCACCAATACTCTCATATTTAAATATGTGCAGTAGAACACATCAAGTGTGACATAGATGATCTTTAGGCAGCTTTTGTGTAATTCAGAAGTCCACAATCTTCCATTGTGGTAGTACCTGAAAAATTATCATGTACGGGTCACATCTACTTAGGTCTTATGCTTGCACAGATATGTATTAAAGCACACTCATGCCTGCCTATTTTGTGATGATACCGATTTCTACAACAATATAACTGAGTACATGCAAGACAAAACAGGAGACCCTCAAAGACAGAACTTTCTACTCTGGTCACTTTAGCCTTCTAGACTCTGTGTTGTGTGATCTGAACACTATTCAGCTGGAGTTTTAGGTGACAAAAGTCAATTATGCATTTATGCGACAGGAAGCCCAAAAGAAGACAATTAAATATTCTCAAAATGAATGTTGACAGTATTAGCATCCCAAGGTATCAGTATGATATCACCAAGTGCATGGAATCTGCCCTGATTCTCTGAACCTTCAGTGGGTTGTCATCATGTCTTTGATTTTCCAAGATGGTCATCTTGTTTACAATTGAAGTTGGAATGCATGGATGGAAAAAAATGAGCACCTGTATTTATGTTTCACTTTAAGGATGGTGAACTTTCTCAGATCTTCAGTGTACCATTCTTTATTGTATTATTGACCAAAATTCAATAGAATGCTCATTATTTTTCTTTTTCTCTAATATTTTACTTTATTATTTATGTATATATGTGTCTGGTCGGATGGTGTCTAGATTGTACAACACAGAAGGCAGGAGCCTTATACTACCAGAGGAGTACATGAGGAGTACCTACACATTGGTGCAGGTGTCCACAGAAGTCAGAAGAGAACACTGGGTCCCCTAGTTATACTTAAATGCAGTTATGCACCATTAGATGTGGTCACTGAGAACTTAAGTCGGGTCTCCTGTGAAAGCAGTACGTACTCTTAACCATTGAGCCATCATCTAGCCCTGATATGCCCATTTTAAAATTAATCCTTGATCAGAACACTAAAATCACTATGTGCACACATGCACACTGACACATATGCATGCACAAAAACATACACTAAAGAATAAAGAAAATAAACAAAACCAGGATAGCCATAGAACCAATCACATTTACGCTATCAGTTGCATACTAAACTACTCTATCATATCACAGATGTTCTTATAAAATGTTACAAGTTAAATAAACACTAAAACATACTCCCCACTGTTATAGCAGTGCTAACTATTCTGTACCATGGCATTCTTCTTTGCCAAATGTGTTTCGTGTAAACTGGTAACTTTTCTAGTCTTCCTTGCACTCGTGAAAGAAAAGACTAAGAGGGAAGTTCATCAATGCCTATCTTCTTGACGACTATGCTTTCAAAGTTCTAATGAGAAGCAAGAGAAGTCTAAATGAAAGGTCATTAACCATGATAAATACTAAAAGCACCAAACCCATTGCCATAGACTACAGTTTTTGTAATCTCAACTTCCATCTTCAATAAAGTGAATGGTAAGAAAGGCTCACTGACTTCTTACAGCTACACAGACATGAAGCCATGCTAACAAGTTTCCAAGATAACCTTACCTTCATCTCTGTGTTCAGAATAACAACAGCCTGGAAAGAGGGTCAATTAATTGTGATTGCCCCTCTTCTCATTTCCTTTACTGACAGAAGACTAGGAGAGGCACAGGAGAGCCACCCAAATAGAAAAGGAGTTGAAAATGGGCCACTTTCAACATGGCTCAGGTTGCACAGAATTAAACAATCCAATAAGTTGAGGACATTCACTGCATGTGTTCATTCTCTGGGAAACATTGAACTAGACCTGGGGAGAAAGGGTGAAAACAGAGCCAAGCTCCCTACCAGGAGGAAGCAGGGAAACCATGGAAAATGAAAGGTACCTTAGAAGAGATTTCTGCAAAGGTCATAACAGAAGACTGGGACGCTGGCCAAAGTAAAGAGGGGGAGGAAGTGAGTCATGTAGACAGAGACTCATACACAGGCTCAGGGATGGAGCTCGGCATGCTGGGTCTCGGCTCATGTCTATCAGATGCCTAGAATCAATGTTGACATTCAGAGGACAAGGGGTGTAGCTATGTGCTACCATTAGAATTTCTTCATTTGGCCATTTACAGAATGTCTCTGAGGCCAAAAGACATTCAAGCCCCCTTAGTTTTTCTGATATTTCTAATGTACTACAAATGAAGCCAAAAAAAATGTTCAAACACATTGCTATCTAGCAATAACTCATTGTTCAAAAGAAAATACCACTCCCATGCTAAACACAACATGCAGTTAATAAAAAATAATGAGGTCACCACACCATGCACAGTCAGATAATGGGACATAGCTTTAAATGTCCAAATTATACCAAGTTTATAACTTTATATACCATTTCATTTAATTTTACTTGGAGGCTGTACAAGAGTTTAAATATAAAGCCATTGTGACATTCAACCTTAATGACCTTTATTATAGTACCCAATTCATTTATTAGTTTGACAAGCATTTACTGTGAGAAATATTTATAAAGTAGGGATTGTGGAAAAATGATTTTGCAATTGCCTCATTGGTCCTGACATCCCCAGATATAAGGCAAGCATTGAACACATAGAAGTAATTCTACTGTTTGGTGTTATGCTAAATGCTTTCACGTCAAAACAAGCTCTATAGGACTCAATTTCTGTAATTATAAAGAAAAGAGGATGAACCTATACCTTTCAGCAGACCCAGAGATTAGAAATGCTAAGCGTAATTAGTCAAACTCAAAGTTAAGGAGACAAAAGGTTGACAGTAGTGTTGCATCAGAGTGACAAGGATTGCTTGGGAACAGCAGCAGAGCTGGGAGCCTCTATCCAAGGCCTCCAAAGGCTTGGAAAGAAGAAAGAAAATTGAGTGGCCAAAGTCTCTGTAGGCCTCTTGCTCAGGGAGGTACAGAAGCTAGGGACTTGGGGGAAGCCCTTTTGTATCTGATAACCTCATACATGAGAAATCTCTGAGACCTGGAAGAGGTTAATAAACTTCTGCAGCACTGACTGAGCTAGTCCTTCTGGAATCTTGAGAATGGCATTTGCATTCTGGGAAGTTCTATAGACTCTTGTTTTTCCAGAAATGCAGGTTAGCTGAATCAGATAGTATTTCCACCAGCCAAGAAATGTCCTATTCGATGCCAACATTTCTCACCTATGTACAGGAACACATCTGAGGAGAATGAGCGTAGACCTTCAGGAATGAGGAAAGTAAAGTAACCCACGGAGCTGGGTAAGTTGTCCCATGAGCCATATTAGTGGAAAACAAAACCTGGGAAGGGGCTGGTTTTAGAAAAAGATGAGGAAGTGACCCTGGCTTCCTAGAACAAGGGTATGCTTCAATGACACAGAGCTCTTTCTTTGGAGCAGAATAGATTTTCTCTCAAATACATAAAGCTACTGTCCAGTAGGAAGTCAAAGCATCTTGTGTTCCTTTCTCTGTAGCCATTTTGGATGTGTGTGTGTGTGTGTGCGTGTGCGTGTGTGTGTGTGTGTGTGTGTGTGTGTGTGTGTGTGTGTGTGTGTGTGTGTGTGTATGTGTTAACATGAGGTGTCTTTCTCCATTGCTCTCCACCCTATTTTTTAGGACTTGGTCTCTCATTGGACCTGGAGCTTTCCAGTTGCCTAGGTTATCTAGTCAGTAAGTCCAAGGTATTCCCCTGTCTCTACTTCTTCAACATTAGTTTGTAACAGGCTGGTTTTTGTTGTTGTTGTTGTTGTTGTTATTTCCTTTTCATTTGTTCCTTTTGTTGTTTTATTTTGTTTTTATGTGGATGCTAAGAATCCAAAAGAATCAAGTCCTCAGAATTGCACCAGAAGTACTTTCCCAGCTGACTCATCTCCCCAGCCCCATTCTGAACAAATTAATGGGTCTTTACCTTCCTAGATTTGGGACCTGGGAGTCAACATGCTCCATGAAACAGCATTACAAGTCCATTCTCCAGGTCCCCAAGCTAAGGAAAGATTGTTTGCTCTTCCCAGGAAATGAAAAGAGCTCAAGACCTTTTATCTCTTCACCACTTATAGCTGGATCTACTATTTCACTTTGATCCCACAGCATAAGTTCCACTGATAACAATGTTGCACTACTTGACAGTCAGACTACTCTCTAGAAGAAACCTCGTCTGTTAACGTTCTAAATATCATTTAATTCTCATCATCAATTTTGAGTTTCTTCTTTCCATTTCTAAATAGTCCTAGTTATATGCTTATTCAAAATATATATATTTGGGGGGCTGAGGATGCATCTCAGAGAATGTGCACCAGCCTGGCATGCACAAGGCTTTGGGCTTGATCTTGAATGCAACAGAAGAAGCATGCATACATTGTAACTGCATTGTGCATAGCTCCTCTGGCTTCTGTTTCCATCATTTGACAACAAAAGTCAGCATCTTCCAACCTACATCTTAGAAAAAAAAAAGCATGATTTTATCATTATGACATTTCACAACTCGTGAGCAGTGGCTGGTAACTTTCTCAAGACATTCATATGCTTTATTATTAAATACACAGTGCTCTTATTACAACATAGAGTTTTTCTTTTAGTTGGTTACTCAGGTTTCAACTGGACCAACCATTTCATCTTGAAGCCCTGGTCCTGCAAATAAAACGTGAGTTCTCAAAGGAAAGCAGATGCCCAACGTGATTAAATTACTTGAGCAACCAAAGGCAAAAGTTTCTAAATTATACACTCAAGTTCATGCAGCTTCTGAGCAATGAAGACAGAGAGGCTGTCAGGAGGACTTGAGTTAGCAAACCTGATGCTGCATCCATGGTGCTGCTCACCCCAGAAAGAATGGATATTATCAAATATACAAGTGCATTTCCTCAGCATCAGGGTAACCAAAAGAAAGAAAGATAAGAGTATTGGTGGGGCTCGATTTCCTCATAGGCCAAAAGAACACACAAAAAGTTACCTTTTAAAATAAAGCAATTATTTTAAAAAGAATGACATAACTCAAAAGTTTAATAATATGGGAGAAATAAGCTTCTAAATATATCCTGGAAATATATATCATATATATATATGATATATGTGTGTGTGTGTGTGTGTGTGTGTGTGTGTGTGTGTGTGTGTGTGTGTATGTGTTTAAATTTTTCCCTTAGCAGTTCCATTTCCATAAGTTTATCTGAGGAACCAATCATGGCTAAATAGCATACAGTCATGAAACCGTTGCATCTGTGTCCATTAACATGTCCACTTATTTGTACAAATGCATGGGATAACTGTAACAGTGTCATACACAAGCATGTGCATGATTTTCTGTGAATGTTGTAAGAAAAAAAAAAAACTAAAGAAGATACTTCTAAAAAGCTATAGCCAGCCTGGAAAAGACCAGAGGATGGAGTGCTGGATACTTTACTCCGAAAAATAGCTTAAGGGCTGAAGAGAAGGCTCAGTGATCAAGAGCTCTGTCTGCTCTTCCAGAGGATCTGACTTCAATTCTCAGCAGTCATGTGGCTCATAACTTTCTGTAACTCCTGCTGTCAGGGAATCTAACAACCTGTTATGGCCTCCCAAGAACTGCACACAGATAGTCATACATAGTTAGCCAAATATTCATTCACTTAAAATACAAATACATCTCAAAAATTAAAAATAATAGCTTTATTTTAATCAGATTTAGGTATAATTATATTGCAACGTATTTAACTGCTAAGATTTACAGAGACAAACACAACCCTTTGGTCTAATTATAAAATGAGAAAGGGCTTTAAATAAACATTTTCAGTACAGCATGCATGGGAGAAAATATTGTAAAGTTACAGAGAAGGGAATACATTTACTCAAGGAATGAGCTCAATTCTCAGGGCATTTATTTCACTATGGACATGACTACACCAGGACTGGTCATTTCTGATAATATTTGATCCAAACAGTCTTCTAAAATTATGTAGTTTAAACATAGACTGCATAAAGCATGGCATCTAAAACCAATGCATAGTTTTCAATTAAGTTGTCTTTTAGTAACAGTTGCAAAAAAATAAATTTGCTTAGTGAGAAAGTTCAATCATCATTGATCATTGGGTGATATTACCAATATAAAGTGAAATGATGAGGCAGGATGTGTAAGGCAACATCCCGGCAGACTGTGCACGCCGAAGCTGGCAGCTAATTCACAGTTGATACTCGACTATAAGGATGCTTTCTATATGTGTTTTAAAATGTCTTGGCTTCTGTTAAAAGCATATTTTCACCTATAACAGGAATTATGTCTTAATATATTCAGTATATTTCCTTGTATTACTTCTGAAATACATGTTAGAAAAAAAAAATCTTACTACTTTTCTCCCCACCTGGAATCTACAAATACTCTGGGGAAGTAGTTGTTCCAGGAAAGGTTTGTATTTCAAAATCATCCATTTCCCTTTATTCTGAGACAGAAGTAGGAAGAGATCAGGAATTCTTTCAAAGACTCACAGCTCACAATGAAAAACTCCATTGACTGGAGAGATTCATCTACGTTACCATGGGCACCTTATTCCTGCAGGCACCCATCGTTTAAACCATCTAGAAATCAAGAATTTATTGAATCTGTACAAATTCCAAGCCCTTCTTTATACATAGAGTTACATGGTTTAATAACAGCCTTTGTTCTCAGTGTATACACATTCTAGCGGAAATAAGGAACTTGGTCTCAGTATTACATGAATTTATAGTTACACACT